TTTTATATTGTGCAACGTAACTTTACAATACACGGCAAACATTCTGGCAATAAAAAGTAAGTGATGAATTGGATTTGAATCGGATCTGAACTTGATCTCCAATTTAGAGAGGTAACAACTATATACTAGTGAAGCAATGAGTTCTGTATAACATTTCGTGTAACAACAAACTTCCACTATGCTATAACACGCGTTTTATGATGATCGTATTCATATTTCTAAAAATTGAAAAATTAAAAACAAACCAAAATTAGATAAAAAAAATGGATAATCATATTCATGAACTGTTACATATTATGAAGGACTATAACAATATTTGTAACAAGACTGGCATTGGTGGTAATGTTAGTGGTAATATTAGTGTTTGTAGAAATATGTTTAGAGAGACTTTAGAAAATGTTAGAAAACGAGAGGAAATAATGCATCATAAATCTGAAATTATAAAAAATGAGATAAAAAGTAAGCAAAAGTGTTTTTATTATTAGTGTATATGAGTGTGTGTATATATATATATATATATGTACGTATGTATGTATAAATATAATCCTTATATTTATATATATACAAGGTATGGACAAAAAATTGGAAAATTTAAAAATTGAAGTGAACAAATTGGAACATTGTGATGATTTTGATGCCAATAATAATAACAATAATAATGTTGGTAAACATAATTATGAATCAATCAAATCTAATTTGTCGTCATCAATATTAAATTTAGACAAAGAAATCCAATATCCTTTTACATCAATAGTTAATCGTGTGTTATTATAATAAATAAATATTTATTTATTTCTTGACTCTTTTAATGAATATACAACTTTAAATTTAGATTATGAAAATTTAAAAAAAGAATCGAAAATGTTACAAGAAGATTTTGATGCTAAAGGGTTGAAAAAAGAAGATTACTCTTTGTTAGTAATTGATAATATTGTTGTTGATTGGTTTAACGAGAGAGTAAATACTGAAGACTTATATTTGTTTATTTATAAAGACTTATATTGGCATTGCTTCGTAAATTGGGAATTCGTTTTTTTGAAAATCCAGATACTCAAAAATTAAAAGTAATAATTGGTAAATATAATTTATTTGTATCATCATTATTTTATTTTTCCTACAATTATAACAATTATTATTATTGTAGAAGGAAATGATGATATCAATGTCGCGATAATAGATAATGCATCGGATGAATATGAAGTTTCCAATTATTTATGGAATTTAGTATTTGAACTAGAAGAGGAAGAAGAAAGAAATAAACATTTTTTAATGTGATTAACATTTCCATACAAATGATCGACGTAAAAAAAATCCACGCCCGTTATATTTTTTTTGGAAAATATTTATTACATCTAGTTTTCAAATATTCTAAAAAAAAAAAAATTAAATAAACAATTTTTTTATCATATACTGCTCAAACACATTAATTACCTGAAAACAATAAAAAAATGAAATAAGAGAGTGATGAATAGATTTTATGAATTATTTATACTCAACAAAAACAAAGTGAAGAATCATTTACACTTAGTTTGATAGATGACATATTTAATAGAATCGTTCTCGCTCCCTAGTTTTTCAAATTTTCTTTGTATTAAATATTAATTAATAAAACAAAAAACAAAAATCACAATATATAAACATGTCTTCATTCCATCTGTTTCACATAAATAATATGTATGAAATTCTTTTAGGCATCTAAAGTAAACCTTTCACTGTTGCTCTCTATATATAATCGAAGAGATTAATAGTAATACGTTTTTTTATATAATGCGTAATGCTTACTTTCATAATAATAGATTATAAACTTGTTTCTTTCCAAAAAAAATTATAAAAACCAATTCATTTTAAATCCCATTGTTATTATAATTGTCTTTGTTGTTTTGTAAATTGTTTCTGTTATTTTTTAATATTTCATATACTGTCATACTAATAGAACTACTTGGTATCATCCATAGAACCCTTGCACTCATTCCTTTAGTAAATGCAATCAATCCACCCTCATTAATATACATTGATTTAATAATATCAATGGGTGATTTGATTGATTGTTGATTAGAATAGGGTGAAGGAGGAGAGTAGGAAGGAATGTGGATGGGTTATTATTAAATTGTGAATATTTTAAAATTAAAAATGTACTATCAAAGCACAAAAATATGAATAAAAACTAATAAATTTTGTATCGAGTGTTTTATTATATAATAAAAATTTTTAAAAAAAAATGAAAGGAAAATGAAACAAATATTTATAATAAATATATTAACAATCCATACTTGTAACAAATAATTATCATCCCATAAATTTTTTTTTGTATATATTAGTATCAATATAGCATAGTGGAAGTTTATCGTTACACGAATGTTATACGGAACTCATTGCTCCCTGAAAACTTCACTATCACTCTAAAATTGGAGATCAAAGTTCAGTTCCAGTTATCACTTACTTTTTATTGCCAGAATATTTTGCACAATATAAAAAAATTAGTGTAACATTTCAAATTACTATGCTTGCTTATTACGTAGCATTACATGAAATCGCACCAATCAATATATATTGTTTATTTTTGGCCGTTCGTGATTCGTCCGTAATTGATAACGTGGAGGACAACTCAGATAATTGACCGATCGATCCAGGTTTCCTCTTTATTTAATAATATTTATTATTTATTTTAAAAAAAACTACATGTTACAATTTAAATAAATAAAAGCGAATTATGGCATTATCAATAAATTCTGATTTCAAGTAATACAATTAGAGGTTTCTTTCCAGAACATCTATAAATAAAGTTCAATGTCATCTTGTGTGAGGATGCCTGACCCTAAACTGTTCGAGTTCGATGTGATTTTAGGTCTTTTTCCTCCGATACTCCAAGTCCTTCTCCATCTTCTGCATTATAAGATGACGTCCGCGTATGCGTGTGTTCGTTTAAGTTTCGTTTTTATTGAACACGAGCAGGACCAAATTTTCACATGATCATACAAACAAATAAATATCTGATTCTATTGTATATGGTGGCGGTGAATCAGATATTTATTTATTCGTAATAATAAAAAAGTTCTCCAGAAGTCCATATTCAGGTACGGAGCTGCCGAACTGAATATGGAATAGCTCCAAAAACTTCTTGTCGTGAATGTATTTCATACGACAATAGCATTTTTTATATCAAAATATGCAATTGACCGACAATTTGGGTTTCTCAACATCAAATTAGATGTTTTGAATCTGACTTTATGCGAAGGAGTATGATTATTATATTTATATACGGCATGTGGGTGATTTATATTTTATTATGATTTTTTTTTTTTTTTTTGAAATAATAGAAGAAGAAATTTGTATATTTTTTATATAAAAAATGTAAGCATTTTAAGCAAGAATTTACAATCTCGTTTTTTTGTTTAAAAAAATAATGGAATTCTTTGAAACTTTGTTATTGTATGACAATGACAATTGTTACTAATATGTAATTTTTTTAATTCGTAGAAATTTCTATACTTTGAATCAAATGTTATAAAACTGAGAATTCTTCTAAATACGGTTAAATTATTCTATTTTTTTAAATATATAACAACAAATTAAAGAGCAGAATTGCTCTGCATATTTAGTGTCAAAAAGTTTCAGGGGTTCATATCTAAAGCACGACTTGTTCACACCAAAAATAAAAATATAAGTACTTTTTCCTTTTTTGCTTTGGCTAATTGTCTAGTCACTATACCATGCATGATATCTTTTTCTTAGTTTAGTTCTTGGCATTGTTATATTATCTATGTCAACAACTTCTGGTAATCCTGGTTTGTCACCATATTTTTTTATCTATTACTATTACTATGGTTTTAGCACAAAAAAGGCAACATTTTAACTAAATGGCACGTACAATCTAATACCAGTTTGATGTTGAAATTTTTAACGACAAAATAATTCAAAAAGCAGTTGATTACTTCACGAAGCTTGCCGAAGAACAGCATTGATCATAAACCTGATAAATTTGCCCCGGTCGACCCAACATCAACAGCTTTCGCTCATTCTACAGTGTCAATATTTACACTCGATTGCTCTTTAAACCTCATATTTATATCACTTTTTTCATTAACATCATGTCCTACAAGCACTGCTGCTTGATGAAATCCAAACTACCAATTTCCTTTATCAAAAATTTAATACATTTGTTCAAAAGACGATATAAGTTCGGAGTGAATTATAACGAGAAGGGTGGCACAAAGGATTCTGGTTATATATATAGATGATGCAGAAGGTGAAGCTGGTGAATTGGCAAAGTGAGATGCGCATATGGTCAAAATTTAGATAAGTCGAATGAATTGAAAAAGGATCTTCTTCCCTTACAGGGACCCACACCCACATGTATCAATTTAATTTTTAAAAAGTTCAATGAGTTTTTATTATTTTTTGGAGGGATGTTTATTTTCTTATAGACGAGAGAATAAAGACTTATTACCCGTCATCTCTTTAAAACCAACTATTCCATTTTTTTTGAACCCTATATGATTTTAGGTATAATAATAATAGCAATTTTTTGCTTTCTTGTTTGAACCATCACACCCATTGCATGGGTTTCCTCTTCCCTTGATCAACTTCAAAATAATTGGTCAACTTTTTGAATTCGTCTTCCGTCCGTCTTTTGAAGCAACTGATCTGTTTATGAAAATAAAAGTCAGTACAAAAATAAGCATCGCAATGAGAATATAGATTCTGTGTTTTCTCCCAAACTTTGTTG